AACGTTGTCCACCACAGCTCGCGGAATGGTAGCAGGAGAAGCCGACCATCGCATCGTCTTTGCAGTGTGCAACGTGAGTAACTGCGTGGACTGACTGAAACCCGCCAAGATCCCTTGCCAGGACTGGTAACATGTGGACAGTGACCCATCACACTGTATCGCCCTGGATTGCGTGTGGCACTGCAAGATCATCCAGGTCAAGCGCGCAGGAAAACCTTCTTCCATACTCTGCTGTAAGAGCGCCGAAGGTAGCACCGACTCAAAAGCCTTCCAGGCGCCCAACAGTGCAGTCACCGAGTGGTCCGAGAGTAAGTGGGCCACCTCCGCATGCAAGTTGCGATCGAATGCGGACGCGGTAGACGACCGCCCTGCACCTCCAATTCCCCAGATCTCCGCCACAGCCGCTTGCTGTAACCACTGCCGTGTTGCTGAAACGCGCGCGCAACTACAACCCGATCAATGTGTTGACCAAGCATATCAAGCGGCTACCTCCATCGGGTTTGCCCAATCTGACTAGGTGGTTGAGAATCCGCTGTGATGGCCAACATCCCAACTGCTCGCATCGGTTGTAGAGCGCAGCCAGGGCCTCCAACCCGATATCTGAAACCTGCCACATGGCTCGCGGTGCGATACTTGTCTGTCCCGCAGAGGTAGTGCCAGGGAAGGTGAGGAGTGCCGTGTGCAACTGAGCCCCTGTGAGTGGTGGTAGCTGATTTCCTAGACCAAGCCCATCCGCTCTTGGTGGCCCAGTAAGCCCATGATGCGTCCAGACCGTCGTCCACTCGAGTAGTTCGCGATCGGCGACCCCATGTGGGCTAGCGTACACCATGAGTAGTATTTTGTCGACATGTCCAGGGGCTTGGTGTCCCTGCGCGCAATGCCAGCGCCCTTGTGGAAAGCCTGCTGAACCCAAGTCTTCCAAGCACGATGCCGCTCTTTAGCTGCCGCCTTCTGCTCCGCCGCCTGAACGATGTAGTCAACCTGAGACTCGAGAGTATCCCGAGCCAGGACTCCAACGCCCGTCTGAAAGAAGAGTTGTACCTTGTGAGGTAGTTCTCTGAGGGTGCGGTGATGCGACCCCACCTTCATAGTAAATGCAACTGTCTCCTTCAGTATCTGTATCACGTGCGCACATTGTCCCTGGAATATCGCACAAGCCGTATTCGCCTTCTCAAGTTGCTTGAGGTAACTGCCAAGATGCTGTTGGGTCCGACGTAGCTGCGTAGCCCATCTGCACGCGATCTACCAACATTGCACCTCCCATCTGACATATGTCCTCCGCCCTGGTGGTCTTCACTTCACGGAATCCCATTTGCAACTGACGTGACCGCCCCGACCCAAATGCTTGAATCGATGGCTACCGTGTAAATGCCAACTTGATGCCAGCTCTGTCCCGATACACTGCAACGTTGCATCCCAAGCCACCTGCAATGTCCGGTCATCCACTGCTTCCGTAGTAAGCCGCTGCACCGAGATCCAGTCATGCCGTTGCGGGAAATAGGCACACCCCACTTGCTAGGTAGCACAAAAGCCCAGAGGTTCAGTCAAGACTCTCTTCCACGTAGCTGCGTCGCGTACTGTAGCCCGAAAGTGCACCGGTGTGTGTAGTGACTGCAGTGCCGCGATCCACTACATGTTCCAGCAAGCGCGCCTGTAAGTTAACCGTGGCAATTGCAGAATCGTAAACTTTCTACCAGAGATAGACTTCAAACACGTGGGTTCCGCAGGTTGATGCAGATGTCCGTGAACTGTTCGTAACCGCGCGAAGTCCCATTCTGATGGTTCCAACTTTCAGTCCCCAAGGACCATCCAGTCCATTCCTATTATGTTCAGCAAGCCCACATATCGCATGACGCCCTCGATGATGTAGACGCTCTCGGGGCTGAGGCCTTCGCTGTCGTGCAAGTAGACGCTCACGATGATCAGCCCCTTGGCGACGCCCCAGTGGACGCGGGCAGCAGTGAAGCTTTCCGTCGGCAGACCAGCCTGGCTAAGGAAGGGGGCTTCCGTGACCATGATGTCGGTAGTAGCTAACATGCAAACGCCCCTGCTGGTTTCGCCGTCCTCTGTCAGTAAGGCATCTGACCAAACCCCGTGGTAGCCTAAGTCCAGCGCCTGCTGCCGAATAGAATGCAATCGATCGCCCTATGCCCCTGAACCGCAATGACCTTCCCAGGTGGTGTCTGAGCCAGTTAGTAGTCCACCGCAGTGCTCGCACCGGAGACGCTGACCGTGGTGATGGCGCCCTTCACCTCATCCAGCGAGTCCGTGTCCCTTGTGCCATAGGTCCTGGCCTGGCCGCCGATGTACTCGCCCTGCTCTGCCGACGAAGTACGAGCGCGGGCCGTAGGCTGCCTCGTCGCAGTACCCGACGTCAAAGGCGATGGCCCGCCTGGCGCTCCCTTCCCGAGAGCCTCGGTCTCAACAGGCACAGCCGCGCAGCCCTGCCCGCCGAGCCTTCCAAGGGAGAGGGCAGCAGCTGAAGACAACCCTGACGGGG